AGTCGTCCCTGACTCCTCGAAGGGAGTCAGGGAGGCGGGTGACAATGTAGTAGAGAGTGAAGTACTTGGGGGGGGGGGGTTCTTGGCGCAGAACTCAGCAGGAAGCGCAGCGCGGAAGCGAGCGTCACTAGTGCGCAGGTGGGTAATGAGGTCGGCGACTGTAGCAAAAGCAGCAAGGTCGGGAAAGAGGTACGGTAGCATGAGGCGGCTCAGTGCAGCAGTGGCAGGGGTGGAGTAGCGTGCGATAACGGCGTCGTACAAGGTGTGAGCACTCTTGTACGACCCAAAGTGCGCACGCTCAGCGGGAGGGAGGTGGCGACGCACAGCAAGACGTGCAGCAGCATCGCGTGTGGCCCACTGTGAGCGAACAGTGGCATCCTCAGTAGTAGCAGGGGCGGGAGAGGCACCAGAAGTGAGATCAAAGAGAGAGAGTCCGTCAGCTCTGTCGCACTGTAGGAAAAGCAGTAGGTCGTCTACCCACACGTCAAAGTCTATGGCTCTGCCCTCAGCGTCAAAGGCGAGGACACTAGGGGTAGCCATGACAGCAGTAGAGAGAGGGCAGTGCGCAGAGTAAAGCTCAGTGCTCACCAGACAGGGCAGTGCAGGGAGGGCTCGGGCGGCTCGGGCGGCTCAGGCGGCTCGGGCGGCTCGGCGGCTGGACTGCTGGGCGGCTCGGGCGACTCGGCGGCTCGGGCGGCTCGGGCGGCTCGGCTGCTGGGGCGGCTCGGCTGCTGGGGCGGCTCGGCTGCTGGGGCGGCTCGGCTGCTGGGGCGGCTCGGCTGCTAGGGCGGCTCGGCGCTGGGGCGTCTCGGCTGCTGGGGCGGCTCGGCTGCTGGGGCGGCTCGGCTGCTGGGAGGTGCAGCGGCGGGACCGTCTGGTGCAGTGGCGGGCCGGTAGGTGCAGCGGCGGGGCCGTCAGGTGCAGCGGCGGGCCGGCAGGTGTAGCGGCGGGCCAGCAGGTGCAGCGGCGGGGCCGTCAGGTGCAGCGGCGGGCCGGCAGGTGCAGCGGCGGGCCAGCAGAGGTGACGGCGGGGCCGTCAGGTGCAGCTGCGGGGCCGGCAGAGGGTACGGGGGGGGGGCCCGTCAGAGGGAACGGCGGGGCCGTAAGGTGCAGCGGCGGGCCGGCAGGTGCAGCGGCGGGGCCGTCTGGTGCAGCGGCGGGCCGTTAGGCGCAGCGGCGGGGCCGGCAGAGCAGGCGGCGGGGGCCGCGTCGTAGCGGACGGCGGGGCCGCGCCTAAGCACGCGGCGGGGCCGCGTCGTAGCAGGCGGCGGGGCCGCGGCCGGGTAGGCGGCGGGGCCACGTCTAAGTAGGCGGCGGGGCCGCGTTGTAGCGGGCGGCGAGGCCGCGTCTGAGCGGGCGGCGGGGCCGCGTCTGAGCAGGCGGCGAGGCCGCGGTCGAAATGGGCGGCGGGGCCGCGGCAGAAATGGCGGCGGGGCCACGTCAGAGAGGGCGGCGGGGCCGCGAGGGAAGGGCGACACAGAGGGTCGCTCGAGCGCGAGAGAAAAAAAAAAAGTTGGCGCGCCTCGGGGCGCGCTTCGGTGGGCCCTAGGCGAAGTTCCCACAGGGAACCCGCTCTATACCATGTGAGAGTTGTAGAACAGGAATGGAATGACTAAGGAAAGATTGGGTACAAATACAACCCTAGAAACCTGTACCCCATATGTGCTACCACAGTATAGCCTACAGCAACTATGTCATATAAATCTGACAAGACAGCGGCAGCAGCAGAGACAACGGAGACAACAGCGGCAACATCAACACCAAACGCTGGTCCTTCAACGGCACCGATCTTCGTCGACGACACACCACCGACACCCGCGCAGCAACTGCACCCAGCACCACGAGAAGTTCATCGAAGTGCCAACTTCATCGCCAGCTTCTATTCCAACTCCGACATGTATCGGCACTCACCTGGACATCGTGCCACCGAAGGAACCTGGCACGCAAGAATGGGACACCCAAGCAACACGGTGTTAAACAACACGATAAGAGCAGGCGTGCTCGACAAAGACTCTCTACTCCTAACTGACGGCAGAGAACTCCAGCGAGCCCATGGAACATGCTTTACCTGCCCCGAAGCCGACTTACCGCATCAACCGTTCGCGTCTCACCACAACACAAGTGCACCAGCTTACGCGCCACTCAAGAAAGTGTACAGCGACATCCTGTACAACCGCGAGCCTGGACAAAACGCGTACAATTACACCATCACCTTCATCGACGCAGCCACTCGATACGTCTGGCACCTAAATCTTCCAAGCAAGGACATGTCAAAGTTAGCAGGCAGAAACAGAATTGAAGAAAAGGAGGGGGTTCACTAGCAAGCAGTTGGATACATATAGCAAACCCTAACTGGGTTGTACTCGCTATAGAGCACACCACTGCAGGCTAGATAATATAACATTCTGACAGGACATGGCCTTCGAAGCCTTCGTCGCTTGGCTTCCAGTAGCAGAATGAGAATCGGGCGTTAAACTATAAAGCTTCTAGTCAGATGGGGGAGGAGAATACACCTCACAGAGGTTCAAGGAGTACTTGGCAGAGAGAGGAATCAAGCGACTCATCTCCCTTCCCTACGCCCATCAACAACAAGGTGTAGCAAAAAGGATGAACAGGACACTCCAGAACACCATGCGCAAGCTGCTACATGGCATGCACCTGCCCAACCACCAGTGGCCCGAAGCAATGGACCACGCCGTCATGCTGCACAACTTGCTCTCGTCATCATCGCTCCCGAACAACGCATCACCGCATCTACTGTGGACAGGAAAACTGGGCAGCACAAAAATGTTGAGAGTCTTCGGCTGCGTGGTACCATACCGGCCCCCATCTATACGAGCTGGCCGATTCTCCCAACGCGCACAATGGGGACTACACCTGGGCATCGAAAAACATTACAACGCATGGAAGATTCTCGACGTCGCAACATTGGAAACAGTAGCAGCACGTGATGTCATCTTCTACGAAAACCTCACCCTTCGATACTACCTCGCCAATTTGCAAGAAGGAAACCCCGACCGCTCCGATGACTTTCTTGGCACCCGAGCCTTCGCCTCGGCAGAAGATGAAGCTGACAAGGACGAGCAGAACGTGGACAGAGCCTCGAAAGAAGCCGGGCATCTCCCCTACTGCTCAGTTGACGTTCGAATGGACGACGAACACCCGCGCAAAAGCATCAACGCCGACGCCTATTACCATTTCGATGACAACGGTTACGTTACACCTGCACAAGTCAACACCAACGAAGCAGTCAGCGTAGGACCTAATTCACCTCCTGATCCAAAAGCATGAGACGAAGCTGTTTATCCCGAGGATGAGAAGAATAGAACGAGAATGAATCAACTATGAATGAAGTGAGTACATATAGGAAACCCTGATTGGGCTGTACCCCCTATAGAACACCCCACTATAGCCTACACAAATATATATAAGCTATAATGTTCTGACACACCCCCATAGGCAAAGTGGGGGAGAACAAGGGGTCACAAGACCAGTCAAGCAAAGCAAAGCAAAGCTCAGGGTGGATCACAAAGTCACCACACATTCCGAGCACAAGTTCAAAGGCCCAAAAGGCTAGTTCACATGCAAGATCACATATATACATATATATATATATATACAAGAGGCTAAGCAAGCAAGAGCAAGAGTATATGTATGTGACAATACAAGCAAGGTCAAGAAGTGAGCAAGTGAGGCAAGACACGCACAAGACCCAGCTGAGTGCAGAAGCGCTGATGATCACAAGGCGCAAGTGCCTTGGTGAAGACATCAGTAGTGTTGGCCTCAGAGGCCACGTACGCAAGCTGCAACTGTCCACGCTGCTGTAGCTCACGCGCAAGAATGTAGCGGAGAGCAATGTGCTTTGTCCTGTGCTCCAGTCGCTGCTCTCGACACAAGGCCAGCATAGCCTTGTTGTCTACGTACAGGACTGGAGGAGAACGAGGCGGCTCTCCAAGGTCGGTCAGCAGGTAGGTGAGCCAGCGAAGCTCCTGGGCAGCCATAGCCCCGGCGTAGATCTCAGCCTCACAACTGGAGCCGAGAACAAAAGACGAGCGTGTAGCCCGCCACGAAACCAAGCCGGAACCAAGACTGAAGGTGTAACCCTGTGACGACCGCTGCGTAGCCTGGTCGTCAGCCCAAGAAGCGTCCGCGTGCCCAGTGAGGACCACTGGACTGCGCCCTCCAAGCACTAGCCCCATGCCCGACGTACTGCACAAGTAGCGCAACACCCTCTTCGCTGCAGCCATGTGCTCTAGTCGGTGTCTCCCAGGAGCAACATAGCGTGCGAGAATGCTAAGAGGGTATGCAAGGTCAGGTCGAGTGCAGGTCATCAGGTACATGAGGCAGCCAACAAGCTCTGGATACGGGCCACTCGACTCTACGGACTCATCCGAAGGCAGAGCTGAGAGCGAGTGGCGGGTAGGCAGAGGAGTGGCCTGAGGCGAGGAGTACGTGAAGCCGAAGCGCTGAAGGACCTGCTGCACCATGTGTGACTGAGTCAGGGTAATGGTGCGGCGTGCTCTGTCCCGGGTGATCTGCAAGCCAAGGTAGCTGCGCAGTTCACCCAGGTCAGTGCACGTGTGTCTCTTCTGCAGCTCGGACTTCACGTAGGCGAGTCCAGCAGTGTCAGCAGTGGCAAAGACCAAGTCGTCGACATACACAAGGATGTAGAACGGCGGCAGAGAGGTGTCGGTGCGCAGAAACAGCGACGGGTCGGCAGTAGAAGGAGCAAACCCAAGTGCCGCCAGCGTAGTCCTCAGTGTGTCGTGCCACTCACGTGGCGCCTTGCGGAGACCGTAGACTGGACGCCGGAGACTCCACTGGGTACCATGAGGGAAAGACCCAGTGAAGCCAGGAGGGCGGCGTAGCCAGATCTCCTCGTGCAGGCTGCCCTGCAAGAAAGCAGTGCTGAAGTCGAGAGAGTGCAGCTCGTAGTTACGGTGAGCAGCAACGTGCAGCAGTACCCGAAGAGTGGTCATCTTCGGGGTGGGGGAGAAGGTCTAAAAGTAGTCAATTCCCTGCCGCTGGCTGAAGCCACGAGCCACGTAACGCGCCTTGAAGACAGGCGGAGAACCCGGCAGCCGCTTCACCCTAAAGATCCACATGCCACTGACGATGTTCGCCCCAGGAGGGAGAATAGCGTCAACGTAGGTGCCTATGGACTTCCAGGAAGCCATCTCTGCATCCATAGCTGCCTGCCACTGAGAGGAGTAGGGACCCTCTATCGCCTCCGCGTAAGAGCGCGGAGTCGGGATGTCAAGTGCATCCGGGTCTCCCTCAGGGGTAAGCAGTACGGACAAGAGATGCGGTGAAGCAGCTGCCAGGCACTGGAACTCCTCCTGCCTGTCCTCGAGGACGTTCGTGCCAAGGGCACACTCACCCCCGACGGATGGAGGACAGACAGACTCAGACTCAGCGACAAGACTAGCAGCGTAGTCTAGGCGACAGCGAGAAGCAAAGTCGACGAGCTCAGTAACGAGGGCAGACGCAGCAGAAGACTCGTAAGAAGGGTCAGTGACGACAGTAGCAAGGAAACGCGTCACAGTAGGACTGGCAGCACGAAGAGAGTCCGACTCCAGGTTGGCAAGAGCAGGAAGAGAGGACTCAGGAGGAGAAGGTAAAGGGGCACGCAGAGGAGCAGTAGACGGACGCAGTGACATCCGGTGCGTGCCAGGGACAGGAGGAGGACGCTGACGGGAACTGCGACCACTAGCGCGTGCAGTACGAACAGGCGACGCAGGACGAGACGCAGGCTCACGACGCTCAGTAAGACCTCCAGTAGGACCAGCGTAGGGAGAAGGAGCAGGTAAGGGGGAGGCAGGCTGTAGCTGTGACTGTGACGGGACAGGCTGTGGACCCTCTAAGGGAGGAGGAGGACCAGTAGAAGGTGGAAGACCAAGAACCTGCTGCAGGAGCGGAACGAAGTACGGTCGAGGTCGCGCGGCGACGCCAGACACACCAGGGACAGCACGAGTACCCCCAGCAGGAGTACCCGCTCCAGCAGCACCTCCAGCAGCACCAGGAGCACCCCCAGCAGGACCGCCAGTGTTAGTCTCAGCGCCAACACCCTCAGCAGCACCAGCTCCAGTCGAACCCGCAGGCCCAGCAGCTCCAGTACTCCCAGTACGAGCACCTCCGGAACCCGCGACAGCAGCACCCTCAGCAGCCGAAGAACCGCCAGCACCAGCAGCACGCCTCCAGCGCCGGGCAAACCACTCACGCAGCTCCTGTGGGGAGAGTGGCTCTCGGCGAGACGAAGCACTCGGAGAAACTCCAGGCGAAGGAACTCCAGGATCAGCAACCCCAGGCAAAGCACCTCCAGGCGTAGCACCTCCAGTCGCAGCACTCTCAGGCTCAGCACCCCCAGGCTCAGCACCCCCAGGCTCAGTACCCCCAGGCTCAGCACCCCCAGGCTCAGCACCCCCAGGCTCAGCACCCCCAGGCTCAGCACCCCTAGGCTCAGCACCCCCAAGCTCCGCACCCCCAGGCTCCGCACCCCCAGGCCCCGCACCCCCAGGCTCAACACCCCCAGTCTCAGCACCCGCAGCAGCACCAGAGTCACCAGTGACCTCGACAGGCTCGACCACGTCTACCTGGGACACACCTGAAGGGGCAGGACCCTGAGGGGGAAGGGGGTCTACCGGGGGGGGACCTGGTACCAAGACGAGCGGGGGTGGGGGGTGGGACGGAGTGCGGTAGGGGAAGAGGCGGTAGTAGGGTACCGACTCGTCGAACGTGACGTCCTGGGAGGACAGAACACAGCGAGAGGTGGGGTTGTAGAACTGCCACCCAGGGGCATCGGGGGGGAACCCCAGGAAGACGCAGGGAGCAGCGCGAGGGGACAGCTTGTCCGCAGACAAGTTGCGAACAAACGCCCGAGATCCCCAGACCCGGAACGCCGACGCATCGCCAACCTTCCCCGTCCACAGCAGGGCTGGGGAGGTCTCCGAGCTAGAGACCCTAGGGTGAAGGTTGATCTGATGCGCCGCGTACCTGACCGCAAACGGCCACAAAAAATGGAGGGTAGCTGCATGCATCATAGATGTACGAGCGACGTCCATGACCATGCCAATGCGGCGCTCTGCAATCCCATTTTGCTTTGGTGAGTCCGGAAGCGTGAAGGTCAGACAAATACCTCGCGCACGACAGTAGGCACGCAGAAGGCCAGAGGAGAACTCTCCGCCTCTGTCCGAGTGCAGACGCAGAACAGGAAAGTCCGAGCCAAAGCTCTACCTGAGCTGGAGACGAGCTGCGCGGATCCAGTCGATCAGCACCTCAGTGACATCACCCTTGCTGCGCAAGGGGAAGACTGTGGTGTAACGCGAGTAGTCGTCAACCACCAACAGGAAGTAGCGCTCGTGACCAAGTCCCTAAACGCGGGCAGGGCCCTACACGTCCATGTGCAGCGTCTTCAACGGGGCCTCTGTCGGAGGAAACTGGGAGGAGTGAGGGGCAGCACGCTGGCGCCCCTCGACACAGGGGACACAGGCAGGGCCAGGGCCCTGAGGAAGGGGAGGGAGGGACCGGGGGAGACCAGACACAAGAAGACGGGAGGCCATGCCTCTGAGCCGAAGCAGAGAGGGGTGACCAATGCGGTGGTGCCAGAGGAGAGTCTCGTGAGACACGCGACGACACGAGCAGGGGGCAGATTCAGGATCACACCTGGACGCTGCAGCAAACACCTGACCAGACGCAGGGACTCTACCAGACTCAGCAACTGGAGGAGAAGTAGTGGTCAGTGTGTACAGGCTCGAACCTGGCTGACTTGTAAACGTAGCCAGGTGGCGACCTGTACTAGCCTCTGTGCAGTGCGTCACCCGCTGACGAGCAGGAGTGAACTGGTGGACACCCGCATCCTGTAGGTCAGCACCACTCACCAGGTTCGTAGAGAACGAGGGAAGGTAGAGACCAGTCAGGGTGCCAGAGGGAGCCGCCGGACACGGGAGGACTGTGGAGAAGCGAGACAGGACAGGACCCCCAGAGGTGTCAGCCAAGGACACCGCAACCGGCCGACTAAGCGGCGTGAGTGTGGTGCGGTCCCGAAAGAAGGATCGAGACGCCCCAGAGTCAGGGGTGAAGGTGTGGGAGGCCGAAGCTGACGCAGTACCTGAGAGCGCAGACTCACTAGTACCTGAGAGCGCAGACTCACCAGTACCTGAGAGCACAGACGCACTGGCACCTAGAGCAGTAGCCTCACTGGCACCTAGAGCAGCAGTACCAATGCCCGGGTCGGGCGGGAAACACCGGTAACAGTCACCCTCATCACTAATAGTCACAGCATACATGGCAGCAAGGATAGCATCAAAGTCAAGATCAAAGATCGCTTCACCAGCCCTAGACAGCTCTCCCCAGCAGGGGATCTCAGTGGCCTCCGGAAATTGCTGGCGCCAAGCGTCCGTCAGGCGGCCAAAGCAGCGCTGGGCGGAGTGGGCACCCCCACACTGCTCACCCGCGCGGTCGCCGGTGCGAAGGACGTAGGTGCAGAGACCAAAACCCCCACCACACTGACGCTGCGTGTACCACTCACGGAGCTGCTGAGGGGTGGGGACGTCGCGAGACCACTGCTGCTGCTGCTGGCGCTGACCACCCCCAGTGCTGCTCCGCTGCGAAGCGCCACTCCGACCACCTCCACCACCTCCACCTCCGCCGCCTCCGCCTCCACCGCCATCGCCGCCTCCGCCAGCAACGCCGCCGCCACCACCGCCTCCGCCTCCACTGCCGCCACTAGCACCTCCACCCCCACTACCACCCCCACCGCCACCCCCACTCCCTCCGCCACCGCCACCTCCACCTCCACTGCCCCCGCCAGCTCCACCCGCGCCCTTGCCCACCTTGCCCTTGCCAGGGCGGCGTCTCCCGCTAGGGGCGGACGCCGCACTGACCGACTCAAGACCAACGAGGTCGGCCGCAGCGGCAGAGGCGACAGAGGGCAACAGGGGGGAAGGAGAACACCCCTCAAAGATGGGGGTGCGAGGGTCACCACGAGAGGCCCCTACGGCGACTATGCTCTTCTCTGCCGCTAGGAGAGACTTCTCGAGGAGGTCTACAGTGAGTGTGGTGGGACAGACTGAGAGGAAGTGGTCCCTGACTACACGAAGGGAGTCAGGGAGACGAGTGACTATAAAATAGAGAGTGATGTACATGGGGGGGGGGGGGGGTTCTTGGCGCAGAAGTCAGCAGGGAACGCAGCGCGGTAGCGAGTGTCACTAGAGCGGAGGTGCGTAATGAGGTCAGCGACTGTGGGAAAGGTAGCAAGGTCAGGGAAGAGGAAGGGTAGCATGAGGCGGCTCAGTGCAGCAGTGGCAGGGGAGGAGTAGCGCGCAACTACAGCGTCGTACAAGGTCTGAGCACTCTTGTACTGACTAAAGTGCGCGCGCTCAGCGGTAGGCAGGTGGCGATGCACAGCAAGACGTGAAGCAGCATCGCGTGTGGCCCACTGGGAGCGAAGAGTGGGGTCAGCATCAGCAGCAGGGGCAGGGACGGCGCCAGAGGTGAGGTCAAAGAGAGAAAGACCGTCTGCTCTATCGCACTGTAAGAACAGCTGCAGGTCGTCGACCCAGACCTCAAAGTCAATGGCGCGACCCTCAGCGTTAAAAGCTAGGACACTAGGGGTAGCCATGACAGCAGTCGACGGTCTCACCAGACAGGACGGGTCGGGCACCTCAGCAGCTCAGCAACACGGCAACACAGCAGCTCGGCCGGCCCAGCAGCAACAGCAGCTACGCGGGACCAGCGGCTCGGCTCCTCAGGCGACTCGGGCGGCTCGGGCTGTGCAGGCGGCTCGGGCGGCTCGGGCGGTTCGGGCGGCTCGGGCGGCTCGGGCGGCTCGGGCACTCAGCGGCACAGGCGGCTCGGGCGGCTCGGCTCCTCAGCGGCGCAGGCGGCTCGGGCGGCTCGGGTGACGCGGGTGGCACGGGCGGCTGGGTGTCACAGCGGCGTTCGGGCGGCAGGGACGGGTGGCGCATGGGCGGTGTGGGGCCGGGACGGCGGCGCACGGCTGGGACGGGTGGCGCACGGGCGGCTGGGAGCGGGGCCGGGACGGGCGACGCACGGGCGGCTTGGGGCCGGGACGGTGGCGAGGGGCCAGGACGGGCGGCGCACGGGCGCCGAGGGGCCGGGACGGCTGTGCGCGGCTGGGACGGGCGGCGCACGGGTGGCTTGGGGCCGGGACGGGCGGCGCACGGCGTCGACGGGCCAGAACGGGCGGCGCGACGTCGGCGTGGGGCCTGACGGGCGGCGCACGGGTGGCGTGGGGCTGGGACGGGCGGCGCACGGCGCCGACAGGTCGGGACGGGCGTCGCACGAGCGCCTAAAGGTGGCGCGACGGCGGCTCGGGGCCTGACGGGCGGTGCGCGGGAGGCTAAGGGCGGCGCGCGAGCGGCGTGGGGCCTGGACGGGCGGCGCGCGGGCGTCTAGGGGCCAAGACTGGCGGCGCGCTGGCGGCTAAGGGCGGCGCGCGCGCGTCTAAGGGCCGGGACGGGCGGCGTGCGGGGGTCTAAGGGCGGCGCGCGGGCGTCTAGGGGCCGTAGGGTAGGTCGACAGAGTGAGAGAGAGAGCCCGGAGCGCGCTCCGGGCAGAAAAAAAAGTTCGAAGTGGTGGGCCCTAAGCACAGTTCCCACAAGGGAACCTGCTCGATACCATGAGAAGAATAGAACGAGAATGAATCAACTATGAATGAAGTGAGTACATATAGGAAACCCTGATTGGGTTGTACCCCCTATGGAATACCCCACTATAGCCTATACAAATATATATAAGCTATAATGTTGTGATAGAGGACACATGACTTCCCCGCTACACACAGAGTGGACTCCAGATACTCGGCCTTGTCACCGTAGTCCACGGCACGGCCATTCCTAAGGAGCCTGCCACAGTTCAGTAGGCTCTGGGGGGGGAGCATAAGGAAAAATGGCGCGAAGCCATGGTCAGTGAATTAAAGGCACTAGAGGAGCGCAACACCTGGAAAGTCGTTCCTATCAGTGTGGCGCGGAACAAAATGATTCTTACTGGAAAGTGGGTCTTCCGCGTGAAGACGAAAGCAGATGGCACCATCAACAAGTTTAAAGCACGATGGGTCGTACGGGGCTTCGATCAAGAGCACGGACGCGATGTCTGTCAGAAACAAGAAGTGTTGAACTAGAAACAGTTGGGAGTACATGTATGAAACCCTAGAGAAATGTATCGCCTAAAGGCTAACCCATTGTAGCTCACACAGCAGAAACATATATAATGTTTGACACACCCCCATAGGCTAAGTGGGGGAGAGCAAGGGGTCACAGGACCAGTCAAGAAAGACAAAGCAAGCTCAGGGTGGATCACAACGTCACAACACACTCTGAGCACAAGCAAAGGGCCACAAGGCCAGTTCACATGTAGAGGCATATATGTAGCACAAGCATCACACTGATCTATATCTAGCAAGGATGCAAGTATATATATATAGATCACAGTACAGGCAAAGTCTACAACAAGTGAGGAAAAGCCCTAGCAAAGTGCAGAAACGCTGATGATCACCAGACTGATGTGCCTTGGTGAATATATTAGAAGTGTTGGCCTGAGTGGCCACGTAACGCAGACGAAGCTGACCACGCTGCTGCAACTCTCGAGCCAGAAAGTAACGTATAGCGATGTGCTTCGTTCTGTGCTCCAGTCTGTGCTCCTCACACAAGGCAATGGCAGCCTTGTTCTCGACGTACAGCACTGGAGGAGAACGAGGCCGCTCTCCCAGGTCGGTCAGCAGGTAGGTGAGCCAGCGTAACTCCTGTGCAGCCATGGCTGTGGCGTAGATCTCAGCCTCACAACTGGAGCTGAGAACTGAAGACGAACGCGTAGAACACCACGAAACTGAGCCAGAGCCAAGGCTGAAGGTGTAACCATGTGACGACCGCTGAGTGGCCTGGTCGTCAACCCAAGAAGCGTCTGAGTGCCCAGTGAGAACAACTGAGCTCCCTCCTCCAAGCACGAGCCCCATGCCCGACGTACTGCACAAGTAGCGCAATACCCTCTTTGCAGCATCCCAGTCCACCTTTCGGTGCCTACCAGGAGCCACGTAGCGGGCCAGAAGGCCAGGAGGGTACGCTAGGTCAGGACGAGTGCAAGTCATCAGGTACATGAGGCAGCCAACTAGCTCTGGGTAAGGACCACCAGGCTCTACGGACTCATCCGAAGGCAGAGCTGAGAGCGAGTGACCTATAGCCAGAGGACCAGGTGAAGCCGAACCGCTGAAGGACCTGCTGCACCATGTGTGACTGAGTCAGTGTGATTGTGCGGCGTGCTCTTTCCCGGGTGATCTGCAAGCCAAGGTAGCTACACAGTTCACCCAGGTCTGTGCACGTGTGTCTCTTCTGCAGCTCCGACTTCACGTGGGCGAGAGCCTTAGCGTCAGCAGTGGCAAAGACCAAGTCGTCGACGTACACGAGGATGTAGAACGGTGGCAGCGAAGTGTCGGTGCGCAGAAACAGCGACGGGTCAGCAGGAGAAGGCGCGAACCCATGTGCCGCAAGAGTAGTCCTCAGTGTGTCGTGCCACTCACGTGGCGCCTGGCGGAGACCGTAGACCGGCCGCCGGAGGCTCCACTGGGTACCAGGAGGAAACGACCCAGTGAAGCCAGGAGGGCGGCGCAGCCATATCTCCTTGTGCAGGCTGCCCTGCAAGAAAGTTGTGCTGAAGTCAAGAGAGTGAAGCTCATAGTCACGCTGAGCAGCAACGTGCAGTAGCACCCGAAGAGTGGTCATCTTCAGGGTGGGGGAGAAGGTCTGAAAAAAGTCTACTCCCTCTCGCTGACTAAAGCCTCGAGCAACGTAACGAGCCTTGAAGACAGGCGGAGAACCTGGCGGCCGCTTCACCCTGAAAATCCAAATGCCACTGACGATGTTCGCCCCAGGAGGGGAAACCTCATCGACGTAAGTGCCAGTGGACTTCCAGGATGCCATCTCTGCGTCCATGGCTGACTGCCACTGTGAGGAGTACTCACCCGCGATCGCCTCAGCGTAAGAGCGCGGGGTCGAGATGTCAACAGCATCGGGGTCTCCCTCAGGGGCAATCAGCATGGACACGAGATGAGGCGCAGCGGCAGCAAGACACTCAAGGTCCTCCTGTCCGTCCTCAAGGACGTCCGTGCCTAGAGCACACTCACCCCCGACGGACTGAGAACAGACAGACCCAGACTCAGCAACAAGACTCGCGGCGTAGTTTAGACGACAGCGAGCAGCAAAGGCGACAAGCTCAGCAACTAGGGCAGACGCAGCAGCAGACTCAAAGGAAGGGTCAGTGACAGCAGTGGCCAGGAGATGCGTGACAGTAGGACTGGCAGCACGAAGGGAGTCAGACTCCGGGTCAGCAAGAGCAGGTAGAGAGGACGCAGGAGGAGACGGCAGAGCGACACGCTGTGGAGCAGTGGAAGGACGCATAGTCATATAGTGTGTGCCTTGGACAGGTGGAGGACGCTCACGCGGAACAAGGCGACCAGTGCGAGCAGCACGAACAGGTGACACAGGACGAACACAGGCGACACAGGACGAGACTTAGGCTCACGGCGCTCTGTAAGACCGCTTGTCGGACCAGTGTAGGGAGAAGGACCAGGAAGTGGCGAGGCAGGCGGCAGCTGTGACTGCGACTGGATAGGCGGATGACACTCTAAGGAGGGAGGAGGACTAGGAGGAGGGGGCAGACCAAGATCCTGGTGAAGGAGCGGAACGAAGTACGGCCGTGGCCGTGAAGTGCCCCCAGAAGCAGCAGAGACATCACGAGAACCTCCAGCCGAACCAGCACCAGTAACACCTCCAGCAGCTCCAGAACCTCCAGCAGCACCAGCAGCACCTCCAGCAGCTCCAGGACCTCCAGCAGCACCAGCAGCACCTCCAGCAGCTCCAAAAACTCCAGCAGCAACTCCAGCAGCTCCAGCAGCACCTCTAGCAGCTCCAGGACCTCCAGCAGCACCAACAGCAGCTCCAGCACCTCCAGCAGCACCTCCAGCAGGCGGTACCTCAACACCAGGAGCTCCAATCCGGAGGTTGCAGCGCCGAGCGTACCACTCACGTAGTCGCTGAGGGGAGGGAGGCTCCGGCTGCGACACTGCACCCGCGGGGCCACCAGCCCCAACTCCAGCCAACCCCCCGACGGAGGTTGTAACGTTGGGAGTACCACTCACGCAGCTGCTGTGAAGAGGGAGCGCCAACAGGCGCAGTACGGTCAGTATCAGAATCCCCAGCTTCAGCTCCTCTAGGCTCAGCACCCCCAGTCGCAGCACCCCCAGGCTAAGCACTCGCGGTCTCCGCACCCCCAGACTCAGCACCCCCAGTCTCCGCACCCCCAGGCTCAGCACCCCCAGTCTCAGTACCTCCAGACCCAGTACCACCAGGCTCAGCACGCTCAGCACCTCGCGCAGGACCAGAGTCAACAGCTACCTCGACAAGCTCGACCGGGTCTACCTGGGAAACACCTGAGGGAGCAGCACCCTGGGGAGGGAGGGGGTCTACCGACGGGACACCTTGGGTGAGGAAGAGCGGCGGGGGGGGGAGCGGGTCAGTGCGGTAGGGGAAGAGACGGTAAAAGGGTACCGACTTGTCAAAGGTGACGTCCTGAGAGGCGAAGACACGGCGCGAGGTGGGGTGGTAAAAC